AATAAAAGAAAAGAAAATGGAGGTTGTAGCATAAAGACATTGTGTTTGAGTATAAAAAAACAAATATATGCAAAATATAGTCAGGGTGGCTTACAACCAAAGGCCAATGGAAATCATTTTGCACATTTCTAAGTGTAACTATAAACATGATGCCCATGCTTAGACTTAAAGTACAATCATGTTTTGATGGCAATTCTGTGTGCCAAAAAAGTATGACACTCGATACATAAAGCAGCAATCTTTAGAAGGGTCAAAAAGCTTTAAATATAACCTCCTACTTGTCGATAATTATAGCTTTGGTCTCCATGGAGCTGTTCAGCATGCTACTTATATCATCACAGTATATTTCACGAGATTTGAGAGTTGGTTTCAACTGCTTTTGCCAACTCATTTCTCTCTCGAGACAAACTTACTGTAGCTGCAAATTCTTCCAAACCCCACAGCTGGGATTTTCTTTGCTCTTGAAACCACTGGAAATACTTTATCTCTGACCTCTACAGTATTTTCTTTCTCTGATGGATGAAACCAGACAGTTAAAGAATTAAAATAAATTTTCCATGTACAAAACTTGCATAAAGTCACATGTAAAAGCTTGCATAATGCTTACTTAAGAACGTAAGACTATCCTACCAAATCAGATTCAAAGCCCATCCTAGTTTATCTTTTAAAATCCCATATAGTCAACCAGATGTTTCTGGTTGTAAATTGAAAATGTGTGCGTGTGTGTGTGCATGTTTATTTTGACTTTATTTTATTAAATGCCTATATTTAGGCAAAACTGCCTACATTTCCATTAAAGATAGAGCATAACATTGATGTGCAAAAACAACGGGAAAAGATGCCTTGCAGGATACAGGACTTGCAAGCAAGATACCTGTCTTCAAATTGTTAATGAAGCCACCTTATTGCAAGTCTTGTCCATCTTACTTCGGAAGCTACTGTCAGCTGTTCGCATGCATGTACAAAGTTATGTTTGTGGCTCTATCTTTACATGTATATAGTAAAATAATTCTTTTTTAAAATTTTTATTTATTTTCAAAATACATGTGAAAATTACATTTTAACAGTTCCGTGTCAAGCGTTACTTATATTTACAATTCTTTTCCGTATCAAACCTTATTTCTCTTATCTAACCATATATATAACATTTCCCAAGCCTCATAAACTCAGACTTCTCTTCACCTTTAAGTTGCCTCGTAAGCCTATCCATCTCGGCACAATCAAGTATTTTGTTTATTATCAAAGTTTTGGAAGATATATCGTCTATTTTCCAGCTTTGGGCATAGGCAATTCTTGCTGCTGTTAATATATGTTGAACAATGTATTGGATATGTTTCTTCAGGTTTCCTTTTGTCATCCCCAATAAGAAAGTTTCTGGCTTCCATTTCTTCCATTTTTCCAAGTATTTTTTTTTAACTTTGGGGCATTGCCACTACATGTGATATAATTCTAAAGCAACCTGCCAAACCTTGAAAAAATTAATTTGCTTTAACAAAGATGTTTTTTTCAAGAGGCAACTGGACTTTCTGGTTTTTCTTTGAAAATGTTTCACTTCTCATCCAAGTAGCTTCTTCAGCTACTGGATGGAAGAATTTGTACTCCTTGCAAACAGCTGGTCATTTGCATTCTTTTAGCGAGTCAAGTCGTTAAGGCCACCTGGAAGTTTATTAGTGTCGTCAGGGTCACCTGAGTGGTGCAAATGGGTGTGGAGCCTTCTTGGAACTGTTGAATGGACTGTATTGTAGACTGGAGATAGATGATGTCATACCCCTCTCTGTTTACAGAGGATTGTTCAGTTTTGACATAGATGGCCTCTTTGACCCTTCTTTCAAACCAATGGTCCTCTCTATCCAAAATATGGACTTTGCTGTCTTCAAAAGAGTGGCCATTGTCTTTTAAATGCATGTGTACTTCAAGTCTCAGACAATCTTCTCTTCAGAAGATTGTTCACCTTGACCTTGTAGTCATCTGTGTTCAGGATGCGTCTTCCTTTATCAACTGGCAGGATGGTGATATTTGGATGTCTTCCTAGGTATGTCACTATTTTTTTTTGAATTGTGAAGTTGGAAGGGGGCATTTTGGCATTGGTGAAGGCTGCAAATACCTTCATCCTTAATTGTTCTGGTTCTGGTTCTGCCAGTTTATTGTTCCTGATGGCTGACTCTGTGGCTATGAGAAGATCTACAATTGGTACAGAGGTGGTATTCAGCAGGTTCTGACCAGTTCTGGAGAACCGGTAACAAAATTTTGAGTAGTTTGGAGAACTGGCAAATACCACCTCTGACTGGCCCCACCCCCATCTCTTCTCTGCCTCCCGAGTCCCAGCTGATCGGCTGGGTCTCCTTTGGTTGCCCTGCACAGGAGAACGGAGCTGGAAAGCAGGTTAGTGGGGAGGTAGGGAATGGGATTTTTCAGTAACCTTCCCCCAGGAGTGGGGTAGGAATGGAGATTTCGTAGTATCCTTCCCCTGCCATGCCCACCAAGCCACAATACGCTGACCAAGCCACGCCCACAGAACTGGTAGGGGAAAAAAATCTGAATCCCACCACTGAATTGGTAGCTATTTTTCTGTTACTGCGAATTTCAGTCATTTGGCCAAAAAAATATTTTCTGTTTGGGTAAACTCTCTTGTCAGACAGATTTCTCACCCGTTGGTCAGTTTTCTGAGACATGTCACTTTCCATCTGGGTTGGTTTTTCTCTTTTGTGTGTTTTTTCCTCTCTAAGTTGTAAAGTAGAGAATTTGCTTTCTTGTCATCCTTTGCTCTTGAAAAAGCACTTTGGGGACAACCATCACCTGCGTGACTGAGAATCTCCATAGACATTTGCCTTAACAGTTTGGTGAGAGATACCCACTCTGCCAGAGAACATAATGAGCCTTCTTATCTGTAAGAAGAATCACAGAGAATCAGGGCACTTGCCACTGTTCTTACATTCTTAGAGGAGAAGGGAAATCTTTATTCACATAGGAAAAAGGGTGCTGACTTTCGGCTTAGAAAAATAATAATCAGTAGTCACATGTAATTCCTGATAATGGATTTTACTTTTTACCTTTCATGTTTCACAAAGTTTAATTCTATTAACATGTGTGTCTTGTAAACAGAATACCTGTAAGGATTTTTGAGGCACCCGCATAGACAAATGGAGTACTAGTCGTCCTTGTTTAAGTTAACTGCCTTGTGCACGACCGTTCACCGTTAGGATGAAAAAGTAAAATGAATAACAGAAATAGAAATTGAGTGGTTTTATATTGCTGTGCCTGTCCAACTCCTACTTTCTGTTGTCTATACAAATCAGTCAGTTTCAACAAAAACATTACAATGGTTGAAGTTAAAATAAGTTGACTGTTAAAATTATTTTTGAAAAAAATGCTATGAGGTGAAATTAATGAGTGGAGTTTACCTCTTCCACACATCTTCCCCCTTTTTCTTTTGTGCCTAAATAAAAGATCAGTAAGAAAATACATGTAGGTATCCGACTTTCTATTATTTAGTCTCTCGTCAAACCTGCTGTGGAACAACTGTTAAATCTTTAACAAAGCTGTACATCAGGCCTATCAAACTGGCGGCCTGCGGGCCGGATACGTCACGCCTACCCTACCTCCGCAAAAGCAAAAAACATCATGAATCGTGATACCTCACGATATGTCACATGACGCGATCAAGTTTGACACCCATGCTGTACATGGAGTCTACTTCTTGACTGTCTATAAGCAATATAACGTGCCAAACTACAATATGTTGGTTGTGCATATGCAGCATGACACATTTATTTCCATCCCAGGTACAGCAGTGTACTTGGGTCATTAATCCTTATGTCTGGTCCTGGGACAAGCATCACAGTTTTTCGTAATTTAGAGTAGTTAGACCCTTCTTTTAATTGATCAGTTTGTATATTGTGAGAGTTAGTCAGACCTCTATAGCTGAACAGTATGCTAAATCTCAGCACCAATTTGCTTCTCGATTAACTGAATGTAAAGAAATTAGTGTAAATTGTTGCTGAATTAATTTCTGTCCTTCAACCTGAAGATGATCTTAAAGTTTTCCAGAAGTTGACAGATGTCTAATGTTGATTCAAATGTTTGTTTTATTTTGCTTATATATTGCTGTTGTTCCAAGAGTTCAGTATGGTTTCCATGGGGAGCTCCCTTCATTTTATCCCCAAAATAACTCTGAGGAGATAGGTTGGACGGAGAGAGAGAGAGAGAGTAGTTGCCCAAAATCACCCAAAGAGTTTTGTGGCTGAGGATAGATTTGAACTTGGGTTTCCTCTGTCTTAGGGCAATATCATAACAGGTACACAATACCGCCATTTTTTTGTAATTACATTAATTACTTGTAGTGAGGAATGGGGGTAATAAAAGAGAGCAGAAAGTTACTAATAAAAAGTAAGGGGAACAAATGAGACAAGCCGTTGTGGAGAAGAATTAAAGATAACATTATTATTAATATTTGTATAGAATCTTTATTGGCCAAATATGATTTGGCCAAGGAATTTGTCTCCACTGCATAAGCTCTCAGTGTACAAATGAGGTAATATAATCAGTGTGCATACAAACAATATGTACTTACAAACTAAAAGTGTATATACAAACAACAATCATAATGATAAGAGACTAATAGGAGAAAAAAATGAGAAGGATAATAGTAATACTACACGGGTAAACATTCTTAGATACAAGACAGGGAATTTGATGATCAGCAGAGTGATGGCATGAGGGGGTAGATTCCCTGTCTTTGTATCTAATTGTTTTGGCATGTAATGCCCTGTACTGGCACCCCAAGGGGAGGAATTGAATCAATTTATGTCTAGGATATGTGAGGTCTGTAGATATTTTCTCAGTCCTCCTTCTGACTTGTGCAGTACGTAGGTTGGAAGGCAGGCTGGTTGCAATTGTTCTTTCTGCATACAATATGTGTATATACACATTTTTATTTCAGATTGTAGTAAAGGGAAAACCGGGTAAATCATTGGTGACCCTTTTTTGTCTTTCTCTTTCAGTGAGTATGTTTTTGAACACATTAACACCCAAATTCTACGTTGCCTTGACAGGCACTTCTTCGTTAATCTCAGGGCTTATTTTGGTAAGTACTAGATCTATTTTTAAAATATTTTATAATCTTCTATACTACATTGGCTTTTACAGCTACATGTTTTTTGTCTTTTTCCTTCAAGTTTCCATATCTATGTACTGTGTACAATTCATATTAGTTAGTAATTAATCTGAACATTAAGTCCTGTTCTGTGGAGCCAATTTTGCTACAATACATACTAGAGAAACCATACATTTGTCAATTAGCATTGAAAAAAATCAGTTTGTTCAAAGTACACCCTGTGTATTAGTTCAAATTTCTGGCCATGAAACTAGAGAAATATATATAAATACAAAGACCATCAAAGAATGAAACCCTGCAGGCCATCAGCCAGCTGCCCAGTGGCAAGGCCCCAGGATCTGACACTATCCCAGCAGAAGTCTACAAGAATGATGGTGCAGTGCTGATCAACAAACTCCCTCAGCTGTTCCAATCCTTCTGGAATCAAGGATCCATTCCTCAGGAACAGAAAGATGCATCCATCGTACACCTCTACAAGAGGAAAGGAAATCAACAAGTCTGTGATAATCATAGAAGAATATCACTGCTTTCCATCACAGGCAAGATCCTTGCACGAGTGTTGCTGAACAGCCTGACTGACGACGTGGAACAGAGTCTATTTTCTGAGACACAGTGTGGTTTTCGCAAAGAGCGTGGCACTGTGGACATGATCTTCGTAGCATGAAAGCTCCAAGAGAAGTTTCAAGAGCAGAATTGTGAATTGTACACCCCCTTCGTGGATCTCACCAAGGCTTTTGACACTGTCAGTCGTAAAGGTCTGTGCTGCATCATGTCAAAGATTGGCTGCCCTGACAGATTCATCCTGATGGTACGTCAGTTCTACGATGGCATGATGGCTTGTGTTCTGAACAACGGAGAAGCTTCAGAGGCCTTTCCTGTTACAAACCGCAAGGGTGCATATTGACACCGACTCTATTCAGCATAATGTTTTCAGTCATGCTGTCAGATGCCTTCCAGAACAGTTCTTTGGGAATTAGCCTGAGATACAGGACTGATGGAAAACTGTTCAACTTGTGAAGACTCCAGGCTGACAACAAGGAGACTGTGCTACGAGATCTCCTTTTTGCTGGCGACTGTGCTCTGAATGTTGGATCAGAACAGTAAATGCAATCCAGTATCCTCAGCAACATGCAACAACTTCGATCTCCTCATTAACACAAAGAAGACTGAAATGATGCACCAGCCAGCTCTGAAAGCCCAATACCAAGAGCCCACCATCACAGTGAAGAGACAAAAGCTGCAAGCAGTGGACCAATTTTCATACCTTGGCAGCACCCTCTCCTGTGCAGTGACAATTGACATTCAGGTCAACTGCAGACTTGCCAAGACAAGCTATACATATGGCAGACTACTGACCAACGTGGGGGACCACTGTGGAATAACCCTTGCTACAAAGCTCAAAGTCTACCGAGCAGTAGTGCTAACTACCCTGATGTATGCCAGTGAGACTTGTACTGTATACAGGAGGCACGCTAGGCAACTGAACCACTTTTACACCAGTGGTCGCCATCCAGTGGGCCGCGAGAAAATTTTGGTGGGGTGCAGAGAAATCTCACCCCCCACAGCATCCCCCCCAAAGCAATTAATCCAGGCTGCACAGAAACACAAGGCTGAGCCCCCGCACATGGCCCACGGGAACCCTCCCCACCCATTCACTCCTTACATTTTTCTGACTATCAGCTGTTCTGCTGTGCTGGGAGATTTAGATTAGCTAGGAAGCAGGAAATGGTTGGATTTCTTGCTTTTTAGCTAGTCTTTAGATCTTTGGCTCTGCTTTTAAGCACAGCCGAACCTCCTTAGGACTGAAGGTTCTATTATTCAGTGCAGACTCACGGCAAGCAAATTTTATGTGACAGTGAGCTAGCCGATGGCAGATAGATAGATTTATGAATGATTCTGTGAGCAACTCAATCTGCCTTCCTGCTTTGCCTGATTTTGGGTAAAAATTGCTCTTTTTTAAAAATAAAAAATTCAATATTTACATACATGGTGTGTTGTGAATTAATTTTGTGCGTTTGCTTGCTAGCAAATTTTATGAGTTTGCTTTCAAGAAAATTTTATGTAACAAGACTGAGCTAGTCAATGGCAGATAGATAGATCTCTGAATGAATCTGTGATTCTGTGAGCAACTCAATCTGCCTGCCTGCTTTGCCTGATTTTGGGTAAAAGTTGCTCTTTTTTAATAAAAAAAATCAATATTTATATTAATATTTACATACAAGCCATGTCCAACCAGTCACATGACCACCAAGCCACACCCACAAATTAGACCACATCCACAGAACCAGTTAGTGGTCCCTGGGATTTAAAATTATGAGTTTGGTGGTCCCTGAGGTCCAAAAGGTTGGTGACCCCTGTTCTACACAACCTGCCTCTGCAGACTTTTGAGGATCCGGTGGTAGGATAAGGTGCCAGATACAGGAGTCCTCTCCAGAGCAGGACTGTCATCAGTTTACACCCTGTTGATGAAAGCCCAGACACGCTGGGCAGGCCATGATGCCAGACCATTGCATCCCTAAACAGCTCCTCTATAGTGAACTGTCACAAGGAAAGCGATTGCAAGGGGGAGAAAGGAAGCGATACAAAGACACATTGAAAGCCTCCTTCAAGTGCCTGGACATTGGCACCATCTCCTGGGAAGCCCTGGTACGAGATCGATCAACATGGCACACTTTATCAAAGTCAATTTTATTGAGGGCCAGATCACCACTGTGGTTGTCTTCTGCGGGCAGGAACGTGATGCAGACTGCTGGACTCACTTACTCTGTCCCACTGTCTGTTTTGTCTTGCGGTTGGAGACCAGGTCACCACTGGTTGTCATCTCAGCCCCCTTGTGGGTCTTGCACTTGGCCTGTGCATGGAGCGTGTTCCCCTTGCGCACCAGACTGCAGCAGTGGATGCACAAGAGCGGGGCTCCATTAGCAGTCCCTGCAGGAAGCAGGAGATGGTGTGGCATTTCTCCGTTTGCTGCCAGACCCAACACATGATGCCCGTTGGGCTTCCCCAAAGCATGGCGGAGGGCGGGGTAGAAAGCGGCACCTGTCCCAAGGCTGGAGGAAGAGGGCCTTTGAGCCCCAGGCACCAGTTAGGGCAGCGTCCTGCTGACTCATCTGCTTGCGTGGAGGGAAGGCTCGCTATTCCTGAGATGCACCTTCCGGGAATGCTGGCCAGGCAGGGAATTTGGCTGCAATTCTCAGCTTGGAATGGAGATGCAGCCTCAGGGACTGTGTCTCAAGGAGCTGCATTGGTTGGGCAATGCCCCGAAAGCTCTCTGGAGCTGCTGCCTTGCAGGGCAGGGCAGCTAGCTAGAAAGGCTGAGTAGAAGTGCTAAAAGCACCCCATTCCCAACAGGCAAAAGGCAGCCACTGCGAGAGGGGAAACCTTGATCAGCATCAGTGCTATGGCCGTCCAAGCCCAGCCGGGATCACATGCCTCCCCCCAATCTCTGTTGGGCCTGGGTAACCTGGGATCTGATGGGCATCTGGCTTTTCCCACTTGCAATGGCCGTTTTTTGCCTGCTGGGTCTGGACCTGAGCTGCCGGCGGCCTCGGTGGTGCCAAGGTACATCGGATGTGTGAGAGGACCACGCCTTTCTAGCTGGCCATTTTGCCTCCTTTGTGCTGGTTGGGTCTGTCCAGCAGTGGCGGAGTTGCCACCCAGGACCTGCTAGAAGTAGGTGAAGCACCTCCTTCACCGGGGGCTGCTCGGTAACGAAAGCCGAGCCCTGCCCTGCCCTGCAACGCAGCAGCTCCAGAGCACTTTCGGGGTGCTGCCCGACTGCTGCAGCTCCTTCAAACAGTGCCCCGAGCCTGCGGTCCCTTCTCTGGACTGAAGGAAATTTTCTGTCTTGCACACACACACATACACACACACACACACACACACACACACACACACACTGCTGCATCTCCATTCCGAGCTGAGGATTGCAGCCAGATTCGCCACTCAGCCAGTGTTCCTGGAAGGTGTGGCTCAAAGCACCAGGCCTGCCTAGCCTGAAGGAGGCAAAGTGGCCAGCTGGAAAGGCTGAGAAGAGGTGGTAAAGTACGCTCAGGCCCAGCAGGCAAAAAATGGCCACCGCGATTGGGGAAAGCCAGATCCCCATGGGAGCTCTTGTTACCCAGCCCAGCAGAGATGTGGGGAGGCATGCAATCCGGGCTGGCTCCCTCGGCCACCTTTTGTCTGCTGGGAATGGGTGTGCTTTTACCACTTCTACTCAACTTTTCTAGCTGGCCGCTTTGCCTCCTTTGGTCTGGGCGGTCCTGGTGCTCCGGGCGTGAACAGCAGCGGCCTAATGGACCTGCATGATCTGCTGGCGGCTTCTGTGGTGAAAGTCTGGTAAGGGCGGCTATCCTGGGAATGGTAAGGGGCCAGCCAGCATCGTTTAGGTCCTGCCCATCCCATCCCAGCAGGTGCGCGTGTCACTTCACACAGCCCATGCCATCCCAGCAGGCACATGTGCTCACAGACCCGGCCCATCCCATCCCAGTAGATGCATGTGCCCGCCTTTTGTAGTGCCGGCCTTGTGCGCGCATGTGCGTGCCTCCTACTGTATGCATGCGTGCCTTCCGGGATGACATTGGCCGGGCCTGCGTGCCCACCTCCTCCTGCGCACATGCACTCCTGCCAGGATGGGTCAGGCCAGGCTGAAGTGATGTGGGCCGAACGCTTACTGTTTGCAGGCTGGATCCAACCATGTCCAGCCCACATGCCTTGAGTTTGACACCCTTGTTCCAAGGGGTATCATTTGAACAAAACTGCCTTATTGCTGTTGTTTCGGCATTGTTAAATTAATAATTTCCAAATGTTTATAATTAATACATTGACAACATCAATAATTGTTAAGATTAAATACACATTTACATATACCTTCCTAAAGTTCAGATTTATGATTAAATTTGTTATGTCTTGGATGTTTTCTATCGAAAACCCCAAATCAGAATTTAGAATTCTTTTAAAATGTATTAATA